ACAGCAAATTTTACGATCACAGGTTAAATCGAATCGCTTCTCTCAGCTGCCTTAGAGTGAGTTATATAAAATGTTGACCTCAAAGATTGTAGTACTAATTATTTTCTTTTGTCCAGGTACTCTCGATGATTGAAAATTACTTCGACTGAAAACTGAAAAATTAAAAATGTTTTGTATCAACAATGAAGAACAATATCACTGTGACACGTTACGATTTAAAGAATATATTGACGAGCTCTTGCCGATATTTGATCACTTTATTGAAACTTATCAAGGTCATGTTGATCCTGAATTCTGGATTAAAGTAAAAATACTAGTCTTGATAATATAGCAGTTGAGAACTGCGAAAGAATATCGTTTCCCTTCTACATAGGTCTGTGCCATTACGCGGCAAAGTAGAATGTCATATGGCGATGATCGACGCTCTTCCTATCCACGTCTTACTGGTTGGGTAGGGAAATTATTTTCCTATAGTCAATCGAATGATATGGAACGATTGAAATTGGATAATATTCGTGTTCCACTCAGTCTTGTCAATGGTGAAAATAGAACGAGAAAACAATGTTTTATTCTGGGTGGATTTCATGGAGTTCTTTCAACAAAAGATTATAAACATAGGCCGGTGTTAAGCTTAACAATTATTGAACAGGTGCAAGAGTCAAAACCAAGACCGACAAAACTTAAGTCAAAATGAAAAAAATTTGATGCAGATAGCGATGACGAATAAAAGTATTGGTGATCAAAGAAGAAATGTACGAAACTATTTTTTTATATTCTTGACTCTTAAATTTTTCCAGTAAAACATGCCACGATAACTTTATGCGAGTTCTTTTGATTACGTCTTTAAAAAAATCAAAAGAAAAGAAACAGACAACAAATATCAAAATATCAAGAGTCATTCAAAAGGATGTGAATAGGTTCGAGTGACATTCAGTAGGTACAAATCCTTAGAGATTAGTATTGTGATTCAGTTATCTTAATGGTACAAAACTGGAAGAAATAATACTATTTGAGATTTCCTTGAAATTTACTTTCGTCATTTGAATCAAACTGCCAACAATCAGATTAGACAGTACACAAATAAAACCTGTACCAAAAATATTGCAGAAAAAAACAGTCATTTTCACTGACATTTTGTCGAAAAAACACCAGTGATTACTAATATTTCCCAAAAATTACTGATTTTCACTAATTTTTTGTGAAATTCAATGCAACTTTAAATGGATTTTTTTCTTTTAAGTGAACATGATAATACGAACTACTGATAAGTTCTTCGATTACGTCAGTGAAATGGTAAAATTTGAATCTTCTAGTCAGAACTTCATGAATTATAGTAAAGCGCAATACTCATAAACACCAGTGAACATTAGTGTGAATCTCATCACAAATTAATGAGAATGTAACGCTTGCATTGATGATCGCTGATGCTAGCGTTACATTTTTTTTAATTTTCACTACAAAAACATTAATAATCACTAATGTTTTTTTCTAGTGAAAATTAAAAAAATATAGCATTAGCATTGAAAATCATCCATGATGCCTATGGTAACTTTTTTTAAATAGCTGCATGTTTCATGAAAACAATTTAGGATGTCAAAATAAAAAATAGTCGGAAATTTTGTGCAAAACAGTACAGAATGATGGCGATAAACTTAATGAGGAGTCGGTTTATTTATACGTAAACAAACTAAGGATTTGACTTTACTACTGACTACCTGACTGATACTCAAGTAATAACGAATAAGGTACATATATGCATAGTGTTAAAAATAGAACATTCCAGAACATAACTTAAGAAAACTATCACGTGAGAGACAGCCATAGAAAATCTTAGAGACTTCTAGAAGATACTTGAATATTGGAATGAGGATATTCACGTATCCCTAGCCATGGTAACTATTTAGTCAATGCATCGCAATATAAAAGTAGGAGTGAGAAAGTTATTGTTATTTTTTTGTTATTAATAACAATAACATTAACGGTTTTTTTCGAAAAAATCAATGAAATAAGTCTAAGTATAGTTTGTACGAACGTCAAAGGATTACTTTATTCATATAGTATCTTTTCCTACCATTTGATATGAGAACTTGCCGTAAATATTATGAGAAATGCTAACATAACGTAATTTGTTATTGTTATTACTATATAACAATAACAATAACAAATTATGTTGTGTTACTGTTTCTCAAAATCTTTACGACAAGTTCTTATATCAAATGGTAGGAAAAGATACTGTATGAATAAAGTGATCCTCTGACGTGCGTACGAACTATGCTTAGATTTGTTTCATTGATTTTTTTTGAATCAAAAGGCTAATGTTATTGTTATTAATAGCAAAAAAAATACCAATAACTCTCTCACCCCTATATCAAAGTACAATCTTGATATATTTGACACTAATCTGGATGAAATTCGAAAAAATTTTTTGTATGAATATCTATATAATTAATTTTGTAAGTATCCGCTTATAGCATTTCTGGATTAGTTTCATTGAGATTAACATCATGTTAGAAAGCATATATCTATAATAGGCTTGGGGAAGTCCGTTACATATCACAGTGAGGGGGGGGCGAAAAATTGAGCAGATTTATTTCAATAATTTTCATTATCACTCTCATTGAAGAAATTTCATGCACATAGACTATTTTCTTGTGAAGACGAATATCATTAAAATGATTTGAAATTCATCAGTTTTTTAATTCCTAATTAATATTGTTTTATTTTTGAACTATCAAGTTATGACATAAAAAACATTAGCTAAAATGATTTGGCTCTAAAACAAATTTTTATTCAATGCATTTCTTTTTTTTTTTTGTGTCTCCACGCACGATAGATCTCAGAACAAAACATTTTTCTTTAACAGGTTTGTTATCAACTAAACTGTATGTTTATATTTGCAGGAAGAGTGCTAGATTCTCTGCTGTATCATTACACATATAAAATATATTTATTTAATTATTGAAAAAAAAAAAAAGAATATCACAAGGAATATTGATTAGTAGATTCTAGAAATAGTTATTTTAGGTTATGATACGATTCTCCGACTGCTTAGTATGGAACAAATGCTTGTGACATTCATTTGTCAAAAACACACATAGTTTCACAGACTGATAGACGTCACCATTGTCTAAGTAAGAACAATGTACCGAACACTCTACGTCAAATTAACATTGATTTTAGGAAGAAAACAAATAGATTGAAGAAATGAAAATTAGTATCTCTCATTATTTTAAGCTAGAGTAATACATTTTTTTTTGAAAATATGCCCTAAAGAACATAGTGCATATTGCCTTAAACATTCTAGCAGTGAGAAGAAAAGTCACTGGTACTGTGACTTCTAATGTTGAGAGAGTACAAATAACATTATTTTAGTCTTGTGACATTTTAAAACCCTTTAGCAATGGAAATCATATATATATATATTATTTTTTTAGCTCTGTTAAGATTTCAATTACAAAAAATCTTTTTCTTGATCATGTGATCCGAATGCTTTCGTTGTCTCTCGTATTGCTGATATCATAGAGGCACCGTATCGCGTCACCGTGCATATAAATATCTACTTTCTCTTATCTTCTACTGACACTCATCTGTTTTCATATGCTTCGTATATATATATGTATCTTCAGAAGTTCCTTTTTCATTGTTTCTCGCTGATTGTTCAATCGTTGGAGTAAAAAAATGGAAGAAAATGAAAGGGTCTACATCTAGAATTTGAGTTCATCATTAGATAGCGCTAATTTAGATCCTTTAATCATTCATTCTACCCAGTTATCGAGATAGAGACTTGTTACGTCATTTCTATAACATGTTCTCCAGAAATAAAAGGAGATTATTTTCGTCCTAAAATTGATTTCAGCACTAGTTATAAAAGAAATTTTACAAACTGTCTTTATTAAAAGGCAAACATACGCTTTCTTGTGTAGGTACCTTCAGTTTTCGAACTTCTGATCTTGGGAATATTATATAGGTAGGACAGTAAGAACAAGTTAGATGAGCATATTGAAAAAATTTCGTTCCAATCGATTGAGATAAACCGCTACGCAATCCATTCTTATTAATTTATCAGTCTTGAAGAGAAAAGTCTCCAATATGCAAAGAAAGCTATACAGAGATCGTATGGCACTCCTAATTTTACAACTAGACGTGAAAAAAAGTATACTGTTACATCTTATCATTGTGATATTTGTAAATAAGGTTTATTTCAGGTTTTCTGAAAAAAAACTATGTAAAACAGCCAATGTTCAGATTTGGAAGAAAAATATAATTACAGAAGTTATAGAAGGGATATGTTGCAAATCTCTGTTACTTCAAAAAACTCGCTAGCAGTTGAAATTTCTTTGTTTTTTTGGAAGACTAAATATATATTTCTGAAACATGAATAAATCAAACTATTAAAAACTGTATAGTTTTCACCTAAAATAAATTTAATAGCAATAGATTATAGACATAAGTAAAGTAAGAAGTAAAATAGATTAATGAAAATCAGGAATTGTTTGTGACAAAAAACATCGTTGTCAAAACAGAATTAAAAAAAAAAGAAAAAAACATTAGTAAACGCAGGTAGTAATTTTCTTGACATTTTTTGAAGATATGAGCGTGTACAATTTAAGGACATTGATAAAAAGTAAGAAAGAATATTCAATAAAGTACAAAACTTTTTATGCAATCACTGTGAGATCCACATATGAGTCACAATGGAGCCATTGTACCTACTATGAAGAGCCTTCACTATATCTATCGACTGGATTTGTGAACAAATATTAGGACGTCAAAAGTTTCTCTTAGCATCATATACTGTGAAAGCAGTATCGAGATTTCTGTCACAACATGAGATCTGTTTTTGTATAGATAGTCTGTATATGACTTGACAGTTTCAGGTTTGTCTGAATTCCTAAAAGAAGCGACAGTTACTAGTCACCTTTCTGTAAGTAATAATCTTCTTTTTTTTTTCTTTTTATATAGCTTATACGTGACAATTGGATTGAAATAAAAACCAAAAGATGTCGACATCAATATTATCCACTATTCAAAGTCAACTTAATTTTTATTGTTACTTAATTCCTATGATTTTAGGAAATGTTGGTAATATATTTATCATCATACTTTTTACTCGGCAACGAAAAAATGCATGTTCAATTTATTTAATCAGTTCAGCTATAGTGAATAATATTTATTTAATATTTACTGGTTATGCTCAAATATTTCCTTTTTACTATGCTGATCAAACAACACGCGCATTTTTTTTATGTAAAATACGTTCATACATACCAAGTGTCCTTGGGCTATTAACTAAAACATTAATTGCATTTGCATGTATTGATCGTTTTATGGTTACAAACAAGCGTGCTAGTTTTCGTGCATTAAGTACACGTAGAAAAGCAAAATCTCTTATCTTTTTTTCTATTTTATTTTGGCCAGTTTGTAACAGTCATATTGCAATAATGACAACAATTATCAATGGACAATGTGGTCAATTTGGTACTTATTCAACAATTTTTACTATTTATATAATAATACTTGTTGGTTTAATTCCACCCATCATATTGGGCTTATTTGGCTATTTAACATATCAAAATATGATACAAAGATATGTTCGTGTTCAACCAGCTGTGCGTACCGTAATTAATGCCCATAATTGTATTCGACGACGAGATCGAGAGTTATTAATTATTGTCATTTATGAAATACTTTTCTATGTTATTACAGCAACTCCATATCCCTTTATTCTCTTAGAAATGATGATAAGCCGATATATAATATCAAATAAAAGTATTCAATATTTACAAATTGAAAGTTTTATACTTAGTATTGCATTTATATTACTATATCTCAATTTTGCTGCACCTTATTATATTTATCTGATGGCATCAAAAGCATTTCGTCGAGATTTCAAACGATTAATTATAAGTATTTATCCAAAATTAAGAAGACAACCAATCATGCCAACTGTTTCTGGAACAACACATCATATGTTTACATAAGATTCTCGTATTTAATTAGACTGACTTCACTACAATTTTCAATGTTGTATGTGTCATGTGTTGTGTTGTCTTGTCTTATCATTTACATGCATTATTTTTCAAATATAATCTATCTGAAATATATAAAGAAACGAGAGATTTCAATGAAAAGTAGTGCAAATATGTGATTTTAATTACAATATCGTTTCAGAAGAAGTGTAGCAGAAAGAATACAAATATAATAATAAAATGAAAACTTAAAACTGTTTAAAATAAACGAATAAATTGCCTTGAAACTATCTATGAGCCATTACTTTTGCTTAATCAGTACGCTTTTCGATCATGGACTTCAGCTTTCTTACGAGCATTCCAAATGTTTCGTGAATCGGTACAAGATAGTGTTAGTAAAAGTTAACTAAGTATGGAATGGTTGTCTTTGTTTTCGAACCAAGTCAAATCAGTCTTCAATTTGACGAAGAAGTGAATGCTATTCTGTATCAAATACAAACATTGATACCTTTTATTTGTGCTTGTATATTGGAAATTTTTCAAACAACTACACAAAAGGATGGTTGGATAAGTGTCTATTTATCTGATTAGAAATGGTTCTTGGTTCCGACAGATAACAGCAGCAGTTACCTTTTTCTATTACCAATACAGCTATTTACTGAGAATGGAATATCCTATCACTCTATTGAAAACCTATCGAGTAGTTGTTTACGTTAGTAAAGTTAGCAGTAGATTCGAGTATTTCAATCAAACACTCGTTCTCTTACATGTACCAAACAAGATAATGAGTGTGTCATATTCAGAATGGCGTTTGCAATCGACTGAGCATAATTGCAAAACATCTTTACAGAAATTAATATTGTCAAAAGCAATAAAAAAAAAACATTTTTCAAACATTTTTTCCTTAAAATTTTCTGTAACTCGATCAAACATTCGTACTATGACTTATGTCGACATTAACAATTAATGTGTCAGATACAACTAGATATCTTCGTTGATTTGTACTACTGTCATTCATATGCGATAGCAGTTTAACTGATAAGAGCCTATTAGGGTCTTGATGAAAAATATTTTCTACTATAAATTTTATTTTTACTATTTGCATATAATGTTTTTTTTTTAAAGTCAAACAATAAAAAAGGAAAGAGGATCCTATTGAAGACTCGCACTACTTGATATTATAGATTTGTTGAGATATCGATATCGATTAATCTAATTAAAAAACAATGTCTTTTTCTTCAAACTGTTCCAAAAACTAGATACTTGAACTAGAAGAGAAGATTCTCTTCTACTTGTCAAAAAAACTTTTCTCGTTCGACCTATTTTATTGAAAGAGCTTGTCAATCTTTATCACTCATGTTCTTCTGGCATAAGCAGTTAATGCATCTGACTCTTAACGGAAGCGTTGATGGTTAGATTTTATTCATCAATTGTAATTCTCCATTGTTCTGTTCGTCATCATTCAATAAAATGCAATCATACATCATCATCATTGTTGGGTATGTTATTCGAGCCTATTCAAGAGCAATTCTTCATGACTCATTCTTCCATGAGTAATTATGAAATACTTTATTCAGAGAACGAACCGAAAAAAGTAATTGCATTTTACTTATTTCAATGTTTTTCTTTTGACTTGAAATATGTTGATGATACGACTCTAACAGAACTATATTCGTGATTCATTTCACAAAGTATCCTTTGTTTCCAATATGAAGTCATTACACAGAAGGGAAGACAAAAATAAAAAACGCTTCTGATGCAACTACTTTTGTCGCGAAATAGTTACTTTCTCAATAAAGTTTTTCATGATTTCGTTTCAACAAACTCATACTAAAAGAACTTGTCAATATGACTGCATAAAGGGCCAAAGTGTGGCATTCATAAGCTCTGACTGTTATACCTTTATGGTATGTTGCCATACCTTTTAAAATAGTTTATTTTAGAAAAATACCAAATGAATCAAAATTATACCAATTTTTATAGTTGATGCGCGCTCTCTGAGTGTGGATATGAGTTGTGGGTGTGTAGTTATATGCAGTTTTGGATATAGGAATTGGCGAACGTTCGCATCTGTGGGCGTCAATTAGAAGTTTCACACGCATACACCTACACCCACACTAAAATTTTCTAGTTATTATATATTAATATTGTAAGTAATAAAGATAATCCTATTCGAATTTACTTGATATCATCTAGTTTAACAGATATGAATATGACGTCATGCGATTCTACTAGGTCTGACCAAAAGCTCTGACAACGCTATTGGCAATTTCATAAACCAATTAATATTGAGGAGGTTTCTTGCATGAATAAATAGTAGAATGTCTTGTCTATAATGATATATATACTAACTCTATTTTAGATTTAGTTACAATACTTTTTCAGATAAACTTTAATTCGAGCTGAAAAAAAAATTTAAATGGCTAATGAATTCGATCGATACTATATTAAAATTCAAACTATTTTGGGAATTGATGCAAAGACAATTCACGAAGAACTTACAACAGCAGCATTAGGACCTAACGCTCCATAATATCGTACAGTTCCCAGGTGGGAAAACCGTTTTCGTAAAGGAAGAGAGGATGTCAATGATGATCCTCGATCTAGTCGTCCAGTATCCGAACTTACAGATGAAAATATTGAACTAGTTCGACAAGTTATCAACAATGATCCACATTCAACTTAGGATGAAATTATAGCTGCGACATCTCTCTCTCATGGCACAATAGAACGAATTATCCACGACTGCCTCAAGATGAAAAAAGTTACATCTCTTTGGGTATCCCATCAACTGACTGATGAACAAAAACAACAACGAGTTCAACTTTGTCGTGAAAATTTAACGAAATTTCAAGATGGTTCCTGACGATTACTGTGATATTATAACAGGTGATGAGACATGGTTTATCATAGGCAGATTCATCACAAGTCAACAAACGCAGCCTGGATTGATGAAGGTGAATCACCAACTACTATCGTTCGTCCAAGCAAATTTGAACCAAAAACTTTATTTTGTATATTCTTTAAATCAAATGGTCCTGTTCTTATACATGATGTTGATGAAGACAAGACTATAGATCACAACTATTATATTGAAAATTGCCTTAAGCCTGTTGTCAAGAAAATATGGAAACAAAGAAAGTCAGCAGGTACAAAAGGTATAAAATTGCTTCATGACAATGTTGGACCTCATCGTCATTCTGATGTTATTAATTATTTAACAGAAGAAGGTATCAATATAATGCCGCATCCACCATACTCACCTGACCTTGCACACTGTGATTATTGGTTAAATGGTTACATCAAGTGTAATTTATCTGACCAACCAAATGAAAAGTCATTGGCTCGTGCGGTATCCAAGGTAGTCAAAAATAGTCCTGAAGAAGAGTTTAAAAAAACTTTCGACAAACTATTAGAAAGGATGGAACTTTGTATAAATAATCATGGCGACTATTTCGAACATTTAATAAAATAAAATGAAAAATACCTCTCTGTTTTCTTATTTTTTTTTAATGTTGCCAGAACTTTTGGTCAGATCTAGTAGTACAATAACTGCTTCAATATTTAATCGAAAAATCTCCGATAATAAATATCAATCTCGTTTTTATCAATCATTCTTAGTTTCTTATTAATTATTTTTCGACAAAATATGCTATTAAATATGTGGTAATCATAATTATAATTCACGGATAATTTGTCACAAGTTAGATTCCTTTACAGAACAATAAAGAAATTTTGTGGCAAAAAAGCAGCAGTCACTTAGTAATTGAGTCATTATGAAGCACTTTTGGCATTCTTTTATTGTAGATATTGTCCATGCGACAGAATATCTATACATTTATTTTCTTTTCTCTTCATTTGGGGTATGCATCATGGGTACAACAAATTTTCTCTCGCATGTGTAGGATCTATAATAAGAGGATAACAAAAATTATCCACGGTGACTTAATGCTTAAGTGAGCGACTGCTATTTTTCCCAATCTCAATAATCAACTATAACGTGCAGATAATGTTACTTTTACAAATGTATTAATACCATTCCATGTCACTTAATCAATTTTATCTTCTGAATCACCCATTCCATCTAATCAAACTTGACATAAAGCTTCTGATTATCCTTGTTTTTAAGACTAGAGTCATTGAAAAGTGATATTATTTTCGTATAACACACGAAAATCAGTCAACACTATGTTTAATTTTTATAACAACTCTTGTCGTCAATCGAATAACGTGAATCTTTATCGATACCGACGAAACAACTGATTATTTCGAATGTATAATATTCATAGGGTTATGACAAAACTCAATCAAACATCAACGGTCTCAAGAAGTATTAAAGCGACGTAATAAAACTGATACGATAATTGTGTAAATTAGAAACATTTATATATTTGCCAATCTATTGAGTGTCCATTAAATATGCCAAATGTTAAGTGGACCCGGTCACAATAAGAGCTCTCGCATTCAATTCAATAATCCAGTTGATCTTTAAAGAATTGAGAAAACATATTAATACACATTTTTTGCGAAAGATATTTTACTCGATTGTGTGTTTTCAAACTATTGTTTCTTTTTTCACTAGGATGGATGTTTAGATATTTTTTTTGTAAAATTCTTTATGATTTTTGCTTGCTACTTGAATTAGTCCAGCGTGTGTACATTTACGTTTTCTTCTGTTTTACAACATGCCGGCCTAAAATATAAAATAACTTATAGAGAATAGAGAAGCATATTCACAAAAGATATAAAGTCAAAATTTGTTTTTCTAATCAGTTACACAATTCAGAATAAATTCATACAGACTTTTCTAAGAAATAAAACTGCTCAGCAAATTTTTATACTTGATTTTGTTTCTAATACTTATTTTATATTATTCATAGCTTCTATTTTTTACAACGTAGACCCCGTCTCACATTGATATATTGTAGGTCTTCGGAATGAATTCTCACTCGCAAAAAAAACAGGCCCATACCTTTATGACCATGTAAAGATGTAGTATAAGAAATTTTTCG